CATACATACATACATACATACATACATACATATATATATATATAGCTGCTGAAAACATATACGGAGTTTACATTTTTCACCACACTGACATAAAATTCTGTAACAAAATATTAAAATCCTTCAATGATTATTTATGAGCATCTCCAAACCATCTAAATCTTCTTCAGTCCCTAATAAACCCACCTGACTCTACCATTATGTCTTCATCCGCAATCCAAGTCTCGCCTTCACTGGAACTCATATCCGCCTCTCTGGTGGCTTCCTCCTTTTCTTCTTTCACCTGGGCCTGTAGTCTGCGCTCAGCCGCTGCTCCCTGGTCCAAATGCTCCTCTCCATGTCCGAGACCATTCTCGGAGTCTGTCTCGCTGTGGGCCGAGCTCTTAAGCTTCTTAAAGGCTTTGGACTGTTTGGGGTTTTTACTACGCTTGATCCTTGCACGCTTCTCGCCACCGCTGCTGCCATCGCCAGCGCCTGAACTTAGAGAAAGATGCTTCAGCTTCTTGTCCTTTTTGCGCTCAGCTTTGCTGGCCACCTGGCCCTCATAAAAAGGGTCTTTTAAACACATTTTACCCATCAGGGTGCTGTCAGATGACAGCCGCCTCATGCTCTTGTTGCTCTTATTGGCACGAGCCTTGCGAACAAAGGTATGGATGGTGTGCAAGTCCGACGTGCCGTGACTCCAGTTGGGAGCCATGTTTGAACTCGCTCCACCTAAAACGCTGCCTTCACCTGAAGCACCAGAGCTGTTTGGAGAACTGGAGGATACTGGTGACCATGGCCTTTCCTGTGGACAGAGACAGACATCTAGATGGGTTGCATGATATTTGGTCATGCCATTACTGACATCTACAAACACAGGTTGAAAAAAAGAAGAAAAAACAGTGCAGGTGCTAAAGAAGATATTCAATGGAAAACATAAATTGACAGCACAGGTTAAATCATGGGGTGCCCAATCCTGGACCTGCAGAGTTTAGCTCCAACTTGTCGCAAAATACTGATTCTTGTAATCCTGAAGACCTTGATTACATTGGTTCGGGTGTGTTTAATTGTGGTTGGAGCTAAATTCTGCAGGACGGTGGCCTTCAAGGTGCAGGACTGGCCAGACCTGTGGTAAACTATGTAAATCTGTGGTTCTCAATGCTAATCCTGGAATTCCCCAAACACTGCACGTTTCAGACGTCTCCTTAATTGAACACAATTTATTTAAATCAATGGCATTTGGCACCAATAGCTGCATTTTGGATTCTTGGATTATTCACAAATTAGCAGTTTTTTTTGTTGTTGTTGCACAGAACAGTCAGTTATCTATCTATCTATCTATCTATCTATCTATCTATATATATATATATCTATATATATCTATATCTATATATCTATATATATACACACACATACACACATAATCTAGATGGGTTGCATGATATTTGGTCATGCCATTACTGACATCTACAAACACAGGTTGAAAAAAAGAAGAAAAAACAGTGCAGGTGCTAAAGAAGATATTCAATGGAAAACATAAATTGACAGCACAGGTTAAATCATGGGGTGCCCAATCCTGGACCTGCAGAGTTTAGCTCCAACTTGTCGCAAAATACTGATTCTTGTAATCCTGAAGACCTTGATTACATTGGTTCGGGTGTGTTTAATTGTGGTTGGAGCTAAATTCTGCAGGACGGTGGCCTTCAAGGTGCAGGACTGGCCAGACCTGTGGTAAACTATGTAAATCTGTGGTTCTCAATGCTAATCCTGGAATTCCCCAAACACTGCACGTTTCAGACGTCTCCTTAATTGAACACACCTTATTTAAATCAATGGCATTTGGCACCAATAGCTGCATTTTGGATTCTTGGATTATTCACAAATTAGCACAGTTTTTTTTGTTGTTGTTGCACAGAACAGTCAGTTATCTCTCTCTCTCTATATATATATATATATATATATATACACACACACACACATATACACACACACACACTGATTCTTGTAATCCTGAAGACCTTGATTACATTGGTTCGGGTGTGTTTAATTGTGGTTGGAGCTAAATTCTGCAGGACGGTGGCCTTCAAGGTGCAGGACTGGCCAGACCTGTGGTAAACTATGTAAATCTGTGGTTCTCAATGCTAATCCTGGAATTCCCCAAACACTGCACGTTTCAGACGTCTCCTTAATTGAACACAATTTATTTAAATCAATGGCATTTGGCACCAATAGCTGCATTTTGGATTCTTGGATTATTCACAAATTAGCAGTTTTTTTTGTTGTTGTTGCACAGAACAGTCAGTTATCTATCTATCTATCTATCTATCTATCTATCTATATATATATATATCTATATATATCTATATCTATATATCTATATATATACACACACATATACACACACACACACGTCCTCTACTCTTACAAAATACACTGTAGTTATCTGCAAAAGAAAAATAAAAGCAATGTAAAATATATACATCTAAAAAGTGAGTACAGTATAGCGTTGACATGAGGGCACATGGACATTATATATACACTGTGCATGCTATTTGAAAAATACAAAAAAAAAAGACTATTTCTATCAAAATATTTTATTTCTATCACTCTCTCCCATCTTGTACAGAATTTATATTTTTTCTAATATAAAAAACTGTGTATAATGAGGCACAGATTATTTATTTGATTTATTTTAAAAATTATAAAACATTTTCATGATCAAGTCAATATTGTTAATTGTAATACATTTCAGCCCTATTTTTGTAAATACTGATTTTAAAAACCACCTGCCAATTAATCAGTTAACTTAGTTATCACCATCTGCAAAATCCAGTATTGGTTGAATTCTAGTCATCAGCACATTAGCACATGCTTGGAATGAGTGTCAAAAAGATGCAGCACCAGGACGTCTCTGGGAACAGGAATTTAAAAAGGGCTTTAATTCATTAAACCACACCTAAATGTGAAACAATGCTCCATTCTTACCTCCTTTGGAGAAGGGATGTAACCAGCATATGCAAGAACAAAACTGCAAAACTTGTTGAAGTCCTCCACTGTCCTCTTTCTTCTCTCTGATGGCTGGACATGAACATTATTTATTAGCATTTGGACAAGCACTGCCATCTGTAGGATGAAAATCTCATTTCCTTGTTTGACTTACCAGAGTCTCTGCTTTGCATTTCAGTAATGAATCTATGTAGAAAAATGAAGGGGAGAGAATAACATTAATTCATGGCTAAATAACTCGCTTAACTGAGAAAACGTCGCATTTGGAATCGATTTGTGCAGTTTTCATTTTTACAAACCTGGTGAAAGTGCGTTTTCGACGGCAAGCTAACGCGCTAACTGTGCTATTCCTCGCGACACCCTGTTGATTGAGGCGTAAAATTCAAGTGCGCAGGGCACCATTTTACATCCAAATATCCACACGGTTTAAGGGACTTTAATTGTGGAGAAAACTAAACTAATTTAGTGACAAAAACCTTAAGCTATAGCAGTCACAATGGCGAGAGGACGCAGCACCTTGAGGCTTAAGCCTTACTTTCGACGTCGAAGCACGCCAAGACAACTTTTCTAGTTTGGGAACTCTTATAAAAGTATGTATGGTTGATCATGATGTAGTTACAACGACCAAATCGGTAAGTGTTGAGTGGAAGAGACCCCATCGGCAACACTCATCCCGGCGTAACAAAGAGTAACGTTACAGTCAGGCAGCGAAATGCTACCACGCTATGCAGGGACCCGTCTTAAAGCAACATTTCTGCCTTAAATGGCATTGAAATATCAGAGAAACAGCCGATCCGGCACCTGGTTAAAGTGATCAATAACAGCAAGTGATTTTAAATTGAGCTGGTTTACTTTGCGACGACAAAATGCGCAACGCTGCGAAACTGCGGTTTTGTAAACGTGCCCATCATTTGAACGGAAAGCAGTGGTTGGATATCATGAATGTTTAAATTATTTATGAATTACAGCTTTAACAAATGGCTACAATCAACAGGAGTAATTTCACTATTGCACAAGATAGCAACTGGGCTAACGTTAATCCCCGTATGAGCCAGCTCGTCGGCGCAGTAAAATGTCCTCTTTTTCATTACCACAATCAAACAGTACAAAGTGTCTGGCAACGAATCAAGTTTACTAGTGACACCGGTCTGCTAAACTAAAGAGTATGTAAAGTTACTGCAGTATTAAAGCTGCTAACAGGCTAAGGTAACGTTAGCTGGCTCTGCTAAAACTGAACGATGATGATGGGTGTTGCCTATCACAACATGGGTAAAGTTTGAATATTTGAAATTCAAGTCTTGGGTTTTCCTTACCTTGGTGTTCGGACATTATTTCAAGCATTGTCGCCTAATAACCTCGATCCTCTTCAGTTGGGTGACGCCGTGCAGCGTCAATCTTCGCCCGGCTTGAGCGCAGCAAGCCCCGGCTGACTAGCTGTAGTCTAGTTAGCTGGGCATCAGAATGATTCAAACGACGATTTTACTTAGTTTTACAAACGGGTCCGATGAAATATCGCTGGATCTTAAATCCCGGGAAAGATTAATTAACTTAATTTTGGCCAGCAAGCAGCGCTGCAAAACATAATCCAGCTGGCAGTTCAATTACCTAACGGACCACCAAGTAAAAAAGAACCAATAATAAAACCAGGGATCCAGCATGTTTTTGCAACTAATGTTAGTAATATAAATGTACGTTCGCGCTATTATCCCTTTTCGACGAAGTGGGGAAAATTATCAAAGTTCTGCAAAAAAAATAAATAAAAGTAACGTCTGCGTGTCGCCTCACTGGAGTCGACGATGTCAACTGACTCCAGAAACCCCTTGCGGTCAAATTGTTGTTGCGATGTAAAATTTTCTCTTCAAGCGTTTATGGGACATGTAGTTCAACCAATGAGATTTGCGAGACCACAAGATCCAGGGGGCGGATCTCCACCCCCTGATTCCGAAACCCACCCATCTCCACCCCCTATATGTGGATCCAACCACGGTCCCTGGATCTTGTGTTCTGCAGTGAGGGGCTACTGAGATTTGCTGACAGATGGCCCTGAATCCAATGATGAATAAACAACAATTCCCATGATTCATTGCGGTAGTCGCTATATTCATGGGAAACTGAGTTTATCTGTTCCAATTCTATGGTTTTGTGTTTGCTCTAAGCGTAGTACACAGGTATAAATAAATAAAGGTATATTTATTAACTTGCATCTTTCTATGCAGATCGTTGGACATTTCAATCAATAAGACCTGTAGTTAAACAGGCTGGTTTCCTTGTCATTCCCTTGGGGTGAAAGGTGGTGACGATTATAGGGGCCCACGGCTGAGGAAGGGCCCCCCGGCGATTTTTTTGATGAGCCACTGCTGCATGTCATCACGAAAGCATAGCAATTGCATGTGTTTTAAAGCCTTGCTAATTTAACCATTAAAAGAGTTTAAAGCGTTCAAGCACAAGATGCGAAAGAACTGAACCAAGTGCTCGCGCACTGAGTTCGGTGCCCACACAGAGAGCCGCGTCTCACAGACAGTGCTCAAACACCGAACCAAGCTTTCCTTCGATTCCTCTCGCACCTGAACAATCAAATATACCTCACCAGTTTAAACATACAAACACAAAAAGACGAGAAAAGCTTAATTCAGCACCTGCAAGCTGTGTTATGTGCGCACAGTGCACACGCAGAGAGCCACGTCTCACAGCCCTTGAACACCGAATTGAGTTTTTGCTCTTGAACTGACAAATACATACAAAATTAAGTAGATATACCTGTCTTGGCGAAAATCCTCAAAAAAAAAAGTTGGTTATTTCTTAAGTGAACATAAACAGTTGAAAAAAGAAATAGGATGTGTACCATTATTTTGGATGTATTGTCTATTAAAATGACCGCGCCTAATTTACTAGCTGCTGTCGGTGTCCTTAAAGGGTTAGTGCACCCAAAAATTCTGTCATTAATTACTTACCCTCATGTCGTTTCAAACCCTTAAGACCTTTGAAACAGATCTGACGTGACACAGCTGACACAGAACAGCATACGCTGTTTACGTCCAGCGGATAATCTCCAAAATGGCGCTACAGGGTGATGCGGAGGAGACGAATTGTTGAATAAAGTTTTTTTTTTTCTCTTTTGCACACAAAAAGTATTCTCGTAGCTTCGTATAATTACGGTTGAACCCCTGATGTCACATGGATTATTTTACAGATCTCCTTGCTATACGTTTCTGGACTTGGGAACATTTCAGTTGCGTTACTGTTTATGCAGGGTCAGACAGCTCTCAGATTCCATCAAAAATATCTTAATTTGTGTTCCGAAGATGAACAAAGGTCTTACGGGTTTGAAACGACACGAGGGTGAGTAATTAATGACAGAATTTTCATTTTTGGGTGAACTAACCCTTTAATATTAATCCAATAAATTAAATGAGAGAAAATCACTCACTGCTCTTTACTGAATTAATTGTAGTTTTAACAAGAATTCATTAATTGTTTAATTTGTATCTTTGTTCTATTTATTTATTTGTGCTATTTATACAGTTTCAAACAGGGCCCACGGGTACAACCAGCACCGGGGCCCCGCAGACGTATTAATCCTAAACCAGTGGAATGGCCAAGCATCTGTACACTCTTAAAAATAAAGGTGCTTCAAAAGGTTCTTCAAGCGATGCCATAGAAGAACCATTTTTGGTTCCACAAAGAACCATTCAGTCAAAGGTTCTTTAAAGAACCATCTCTTTCTTACCTTTTTGTAATCTGAAGAACCTTATTTCGCCACAAAGAACCTTTTGTGAAAAAGAAAGGTTCTTCAGATGTTAAAGGTTCTTTATGGAACCATTTAGACAAAAAGGTTCTTCTATGGCATCGTGAAGCACCTTTATTTTTAAGAGTGTACACCACAAAATAAACATTTATCTTCGAAAGGGGGCGCTTGCGGCTCAGGAAAATTTGGTTCGTAATCATCTAAAATAATTAAAATCTAGCAAATATGTAGTACGGGTTGGGTGTCTGCGGGCCTGAAAGTGTAATCAGAATCAGATTTTGCTTTATCTGCCAAGTGTGTGCAAACACACAAGGAATTTGTTGTGTTTTTTAGGAGCTCTTGGTACATACATGACATGAGAACAGAAAGAACAATTAAATAAGACTAAAGAAAAAATAATAATAACAATGTGGTAAAATCTGGATCAGAAGATTTATGTACAGATTTGTGGAATTATTTACTCTACAGTTGTATAAATAAAAATATGTATATGTATTTACATAATACTTGAAAGACAGGTAGTTGCTGGAAATGGAGAAATTAATTGGTCTACAGAAAACAAGTAATCATTTCTGTGCTTTAAAGGGGTCATATGATGCGATTTCAATTTTTCCTTTCTCTTTGGAGTGTTACAAGCTCTTGGTGCATAAAGAAGATCTGTAAAGTTACAAAGACTAAAGTCTCAAATCCAAAGAGATATTCTTTATAAAAGTTAAGAGTCAGCCACACCTACCTAAAACGGCTCGTTCTAACACACCCCCACATGTCTACGTCACGATGTGGGAAGATTTGCATAACGCCGCCCAAATGTTCACACAAAGAAAGAAGGCATAACTTTTATTCTCGCTGTAGTATTGTTGTTGCCGCCGCTGCCATGTCGTGAAGGTGCTGTGTGCTTCGTTGTGAAAGCTAATCTACTTTGTTTGGTCTTCCAAAAGAGGATGATATCCGCTTCGTCATGCCAGGAGCTAATCTGTGCTGGTTGCTGAGGGAATACATCAACTTTCACCATGGACAAAGCGGAGTCCAGCCCGCCTCAGCTCACTCTATCCCGGCCTCAGCACATGCTAAGCCGGGGCTTCCCCTCACGGGAGGCCGCTGTGTTTTTCGTTGCCACTGATGATTCAAACACATCAACTTTCACCATGGACAAAGCGGAGTCCAGCCCGCCTCAGCTCACTCTATCCCGGCCTCAGCACATGCTAAGCCGGGGCTTCCCCTCACGGGAAGTTCGTTGCCACTGATGATTCAAACGTGAGTTTTGGGCAGTAGAGTAGCACTTGTTGTTTGTCATTTCTCCGATCACAAATGCAGACAGAGTTTTATGTTTACGCGGCGCAATGCAACGCAATGCGTAAAAAGACAGTATAAGTCATTATAATCAGTAATTGTGTCCCCACTGGATGCAACAAATGCCTCGTTTATAATGGGTTTTAATATTTATGTCTCGTAGCTCCGGCCGGGACACGGTATCAACAGTATGGTGAGGGGTGTAACAATTCCATCACACGCTTGAGGTATTCGGCCAATCACAACGATTTGGATTGCTGGCCAATCAGAGCACACCTCGCTTTTTCAGACTGATGAGCTTTGTAAAAATCGACGCGTTTCAAAAAGGCATAGAGGAGAAACAATAATGTACAGTATGTGGAAAATAATGTGTTTTTTAACTTTAAACCGCATAAACACATTTCATTACACCAAATACACAAAATAATGTTATTTTTAGCAGCTTCATATGACCCCTTTAAAGTTTGACCAAAAGGCTGTAAAAGGTCTTAAACATCTTAAATAGAATAAAAAAAGTCTCAAATGCTATAATATGTTGATGGAGAAACAATGACAATTCTATTAATCTTAAAGAAATGTTCTTCATTTATTGAAGAGCCTAGGAAAATATAAGTCTTAGTTAATAATCATTTTACTGTATTTTAGTTAGGCTAATCCATTAAATATTAAAAATCTAATTTATTCTAGAAATCTAATATAAAATATTATCAAAAGGCAAAAACAAGACTTTATTTATTTTCTACTTATATCGACAACTCAAATCACTATTCATACAGTTCGACTGAATAGATTTATTTACATTGCCCCCCTTTATCACTTAATCTTTTCAATAATGGCATAATATTTCTTTAGTCTATATTTTTATCAAAATGTTTTTTTTAATTGTTATTATTATTAATCAAATATATTGAATACAGTTGTCAGCTGTTTGCAGAGATTCAGAATCTCTACTGGGTCTCGCCTTTCTGAGCCATTGAGTGCCCCCTTTAGGACATAAAAATGATCACAGCTAAAACAGCATAAGCCGTTCTATTGACTTCAGTTCACTGACCAAACCCCTTAACAACGAAATCAGCAGTTTCCACCTTGAATACATCACACTGTACTGTACAGCCTTGACAACACTCTTGATCACACAAGCATAAAGATCACTCGAAGGCACGTAGGAATTGTTGAAGAAGATATGTCTGAGAAGGTCCCTAAAACATCTCAGGACCTGACTGTTGTGGTGAGTATTTTATATATATATATATATATAATTTATTTATTTTTTAACGAGGTACAATACTGGGTCGCGCACTTACTGTCGCCTAGTTTTCAGTCACGTTCATTTTTACTAGCCAAAGTGAATTAATGTATAATGAGAAGTGTGAAGTGCTGCGATTTGCCTGTTCATTAATAGCTCTGTCGCGAACTTGTATTGAGAGATCACTCTTATATGAGTTCCATGTATTTTCAAATGTTTTCTCTCTTCATCAAATCTATAGATAAATTAAATTAGAATGTAAATGGCATTTATTTTCAGAAGGATTATACAACGGACATTTCTTTATTATTTCACTGTTAGGTATCTTATGTGATTATTACACGATGCTGAGAGGTTTCCCTTGTTACTATGGTTTCAGTTCCACGCGTGGGCGGGGAGCATGCCCTTAAACTGCTGTTTTTACTCCTGTGTGGGAAGCCCACGCAAAACCCACACGACTCTAGATGGATTTCATTTATGCTAGTTGAACGCAGTGTTCATTCACATTTTTTGTGAGTTTTAAGCTGATTGCTTGTTTAATATTTTTTTTTTCTGTTCAGGTACAGACCTTGCTGCAGCAGATGCAGGACAAGTTCCAGACCATGTCAGACCAAATTATTGGGCGAAATATCCTTC